CAAAGCGGGTGTAGAAGGTGTTGAGGTCATCCGGCAGGCTGTCTGTGGAGCTGATGATGCTGGTGGTGGTCCTGTAGTCTGTGATGTGCTGCAGGCCTTGCCACATCCATCTGGAGTCAGCAGTAGAATAGAAGCCATTCAGCTTCTCTCTGTACTGCCTCTTGGCCGCTGTGATGGATTTCCTCAGTTTGTACTTCGCAGCTTTGTACTCCGTCTCATCACCTGATATGAATGCATGAGAGCGAGCATGCAGCATGTGGCGTACCTGACTGGTTATCCAGGGCTTCTGGTTGGGGAACCTCCTGACTTGTATGGTGGGCCCAATGTTGTACAGGTACTAATGTATCTGGTCACATACTCAGCATAGTCCTGTACGCTGACAGAAAAGTCCTCTGAGGTGGCTGCAGCTTTAAACACATCCCAGTCTGTCTGGGCGAAACAGTCCTGCAGGATGCCTTCAGTCTCTGGGGTCCAGAGTTTAATTTGTTTAGTGACAGGGTTTGTTTGTTTCAGTCTTTGTCTGTAAGCTGGATACAGGAACAAAGAAATGTGGTCTGAGTGTCCAAGATGGGGGCGGGGTGCGACCCTGTAAGCACCACGTATGTTACTGTTAACATGATCCAGAGTGTTCTTGCCCCGAGTGGGAATGTTCACATGTTGGTAATATTTGGGGAGTATAGTCCGTAAATTGCACTGGTTAAAGTCGCCTGCAGCGATAAATACAGCACTGGGGTGTGCTGTCTCTAGTGCGTTGATGGTATCAGAGTTTGCTTAGAGCCGCAGCTGAAGAAGAAAAAGATGAATGTGGCCTAGTCAGAGTCCAGACTTGAACCCTATTGAAAATCTGTGGAATGACCTGAAGACTGCAGTTCACAAGCGGTCACCTTCCAATTTGACTAACCTGGAACAGATCTGTAAGAGTGGCCAAATATTGCTCAGTCTGAGTGTGCAAATTTGGTAGAGACATATCCAGACAGACTCAAGGCTGTAATTAAAGCAGAAGGTGATTCCGCAAAGTATTAATGAAAAAAAAAAGGGGGGGGGGGTAAGATATCCATTATTTTATTCTTTTCAGAACTGGTGATTTTTTTTTTCCTTTGCACAAATAGCTTTTCTGTTTTCATTTGAGGCTATAAAACAACAAAATGTGAATGTTTTGAAAGGAGGTGATTCTTTTCTCACAAATGACCGTAAAATTGAGTGGGCACAACAACAAGTATCAAGAAAAACTCAGCAAGTAAGGTCGCTGCTATTTACCCCCGTTTTACTCTTTCATTGTATCGGATTGTATTGCCATTTTCACTTCCCTCTCCATAAAATAAGTCAGCAGGCTTTAGAGTGTGAGATTAGAATTCAAACTTGACAGTACAGCAGTAAATACAGCACCAGACATATTTTAATTTCAGTGCAGTGATTTGTTTTCCTCCACTGGATCTCTAAATCTAATAAATAAAACCAAGTGTGTCACTTCATCACTTTGGGTACTTTAGTGTATTATAATTTCTTAAGAAACCAAAGCAGGAAACAAAACAATATAACATTATTCTGATAAATAAACTCAGACTAGCTTCCAAATTGACAGGTGTTTGAACTGCATTTACTGGGAGCTGCGGTCCTGACTCCACTCTACTCCTCTCCTATTTTTTGAAACATTTGGATCTTTCTCATTTTAACTTATTTTCTCAGAGCTTGTCAGGCACAATTTTGTATTTATTTTTTAACTTAGATATTCATGTAAAGCGAGTCGGCACACAGTACATATACCTGCACAGCCCAGCCCAGTAGAATAGTCTGCTCCACTGCAGTCTCCTCTATTGGGTACATTACAACACAAAGCCACATCTAACCAGTTAGCCATTAGCTTAACAACCTCGTTATAGTTAACAGATATTAGCAGTGAATAACAGAATGTGGTCAAGGCTGAAATGATCACTTCTCTACAAGTTCATTCTTGCTTAGCGAGTGTTTTGACAAGTTCCCTTTACTGCCTGTTTACTCATGGAGGCTTTATTGCACATAGAGTGACGAGTATACAGGTAAGTGCTGTCAACTCAAGTAATGTTTCACTTCACCTGGGCTCCCTTTCTCCACTGTGGCCTCTTGGCTGCTGCCCGCTCCATATGCGAAAGAGCTGAGACCCCACATTACTCATCTATACTCGTGACTGAAATGCTTGCACTGTTAAGTCCTGAGCCCAAGTTCTTTTGTACAGAGTGGGACAAAGATAGTAAAAACCAGGACTAACACTGATTCAGTTCATTTCATTTTAAGTGTATAGCACCAATTCACAACAACCGTCTCAGGGTACTTTACATAATCAGGTCTATACTAGGGCTGGGGTTCGATGCCATTTAATCAAATCAGAATCCTTTTGAATTCCTTATTGAATCTGATTAATAATTGTAATAATTATGCATTTATTCATATAGCACTTTAAGAAACTGAGACACTTAAGTTTCTTAGTATAAAAAGATGTATTTTAATTTCACGCACTACAGCAACAAAACAACTAAACTACAGTATTTTTTGGAATAAACTATAATATTTATGAATCTAGCTTTTTTTAACTGGAACCTGCAGCTGCAGAAGCTCACAACAGTGAGCTCATTACTTTCACAATAGAATTATTAACGTCAATCTGATCATTCAGTGAATGTTGTTTTAATAAATCACTCAGCTTGCTGAGCTGTGAATTTAGCGTTACCTAAAGGTGGACTGATTGTTGTATTGCAGACCTGACAGATCACACTATACCAGCTACATAGCCTAGCATAACGTATACAACAGTCTCGCTAAATTTTCACCAGTTTGTAAACCTTTTTTTTTTCCCCTATGGCGATGTCTGTATAATCAGAGACAACAAAAAATGTAATGTAAACAGAGAACATGAAAGACAAGATTGATAAGGGATTTATTTAGCATGAAGCTCAACTTGGAACCTGATCCAAAATAGAACTGGTTAGTGAAACCCCAGCCCTAGTCTAGACCTTACACTATTATAAGGAAAACCCAACAAATCCCCCTTAAGCACTTGGCAACAGGTCATATACAGCATACACGCACGCACGCACACACACACACACACACACACACACACACACACACACACACACAGTACATACATAAGCATATACATATAGTATACATATACACACAGTACAGACAACACACATATGCAATGCTATACACTACAATATAAAATAAGTACTATATTTATATGTGTAGGTCTATACTATACACGTACACACCATCTACATGCATAATACTATACAGTAATCCAATACCATTCCATATACTATTCCAGATTCATAATACATTCAATAATACACAAATGTGCCAAAGAATGGGAGAGCATTCATATGGAAGCTCAGTATTCAATAGAGCCACACAATAAGCAACACCATTTTCCAAACCTAACCTACCTTACCCTTAAAGCATCCCTGAACCCTATCCTCACCCAAGCAAAGGGCAAATATGCAGCTTGACACACAGCATCTCCATTGTATTTGCTCAGAATAAGCAGTAGCCAATCCAACTGACCTGTAATGGCAGTCACCTGACAGCCAGGTCCACTCAGTTGTCCAACCACTGCTGCCACCAAGATTATCAAACAAAGGAAGAATACACTACTAATAACCACAGTGATTCAACTATATTATCACCAACACCAATATTAATTAATGATAGAACAACATATTATATCAACCCTATCCTCACCCAAGCAAAGGGCAAATATGCAGCTTGACACACAGCATCTCCATTGTATTTGCTCAGAATAAGCAGTAGCCAATCCAACTGACCTGTAATGGCAGTCACCTGACAGCCAGGTCCACTCAGTTGTCCAACCACTGCTGCCACCAAGATTATCAAACAAAGGAAGAATACACTACTAATAACCACAGTGATTCAACTATATTATCACCAACACCAATATTAATTAATGATAGAACAACATATTATATCAATCTAACTATAAGCTTTATCAAAAAGGAAAGTCTTAAGTCTAATCTTAAAGGTAGAGAGGGTGTCTGCCTCCCAAACTGAGACTAGGAGCTGGTTCCACAGGAGCGGAGTTTGATAGCTAAAGGCTCTGCCTCCCATTCTACTTCTGTAGACTCTAGGAACCAAAAGCATCGGTTTGGATTATTGAGAGGACAGTGTTAAAAACTGCCAAATAACTCAGATTTTATTCTGATGTCGTAAAGTAGAATAAATCACCAGAAAGAGAGAAAGAGAGAGAGGCACATAGCTTGGATCCTCATGCTTGAGAAGACTTTTCAAAAGCAGCTCATTGGCTTATGCAGAATAACAAGAACATGTCATAAATGTCATTTCTAATTGCTTGAGATGCACAAACCAAATGTTTTTTGCATTGAGTTGTTAGCAGAAGTCTGAGACACATACATAATCTTGGCAAACATAACTATTATCTGAATGGGTGACTATACACCACCAGGGGTTTGTTAATTTGCGATTCAGGTGAAGCGACCTATCAACTTCAGGCACTCTGCCCATCCAGGGATGGATGACTATGGGTTTTAAGGCCACCTTGAGTTGTAATATCTGTCTCTCCACAGGGAGGCACCCAACAGCTTTCAGAGCGTCTGACAGAATGTGTGGGGTGGAAGAATGTCCGGCTGGGTTCTGCTGTGACGGCCATATGGCAGGTAGAGTACCATAACAGCTCACTCAGGGATTGATGAGGCACGACGCAGAGATAACAGCTTCCTCAGTGGGGAAACAGGCCGTCTCCTGTGATGGCAATGTCTGTTCCACCCGACTGTCTTCCTTATCCACAGCTTAGAGAACAAGAAGGCTCCAAGCACCCTTAGGTGTTGAGCTTTACTAGTGTTTATGGATTTTTTTTATGAGTTTATTGGTTGTTAAATGATAGAACACTGAATGTTGGGATAATGATAAAATATTTAATGGGATTGTGGCTGTAGATTATAGAACACTGAACTGAAGACTGTTTTTGTAAGTAAGGATCTTACCATTTGACTTTGTATTTCTTCTGACTGTGATTTTAATTATCATTTCATTGTTTATGCCACTGATCAAGCAAAAGAACTGCAGCTTATTAAATATGAGGACCTGATGCTTTTCAGGTGTATGCCACTGCAAATCTTTGGGTTTTACTCTTTTGGTGGGAGAAACTAATGATAGCCTGGTGCTCTAGAGAACTGTAAGTATTTGACAATATCTGTGACCCCTTGTTAGAGAAGAAACATTCAGTCATTTATTCCATTTGTCAACTGACAGAAAACGAATCAACTATCTTGATAATCATTTAAGTTTTTTTTTTTTTTTTTTTACAATACTGAAACATCACATTAAAAATCTTTGTACCATTTCTCACCTTCACCTCTGGGAACTTATCGGGGGCAACTCTGCTTCAGTGGGTAGAGCAGTCATCTCCCAACCAGAGGGTCAGAGGTTTAAATCTCGGTGCCTGCAATCCACGTGTCGAAGTGTCCTCGAGCAAGACACTGAACCCCCAAGTTGCCCCCGATGGTTGGAGCCATTGGTTGAGTTGGCGCCGCAGATGGCTGCCTCGGTTCAGTACGAGAAACAAATTCCTTGTAACATACTTGGCCAATAAAGGTGATTATTATTTACATTTTTTAGATCATAAAAAATTGATTAGTCAAGAAAATAATCAGCTAATGAATGATATAAATGATTAGAATAAAAATAGCTGTAGCTATTATTTCCATTAATGATTCATTTAATGATGAATCATTAATGGAAATAACTGGTAATTGCAGTCCTGCTCACAGCACAACACCATAAAAATAAGAGTGAGAAGAGGAAGAGCATGACATGTATTTTCTACAGTAGCTCATCATGTGCTGGATTAGAGGAGGCTATAATCTATCCCTGCAAGCACTGGCTGAGAGGAGCCCTTGACATTTTGCCAGTCAATCACAGAGGTAACACATATTGGCAGACATACACATTCACGCTCACGTTCACAGCTACAGGCAATTTAGAGTTTCCACTTCACCTAAGTTGAACTGGAGCACTCAGAAGAAACCCACACAGACACGGAGAACATGCAAGCTTCACACAGAGAGGCCCCAGTTACCCTGCTTCACAACCAGGCTCTTCTGGTCTTAAAAGACAACAGCACTATACTGTACATACATGTATACACACAAAGTATGTGAAAATAAGTGAATCGCCTTCATTGAAAGGCTTGGATGAAAACCTGTCCAAATTTAAAGAGTGCCGATACATTTACTTTTTAGCCTTGACCTTGAAGAAACTAATAACCTATGCTCTAAGAAGGACTGTTACAGTGGTGCTGACAGACATGAATGGAGGGACTCAGTACTCAGGTACTAATGAAAGAAAAAAGATGGCAAGACTGCAGTGAGTCAAAATAGTGTACAGCAGAACATCCCATCATCACAATATCATTTAACCACCTTTTATAGTTTACCACATCATTTGCATAAACAACTCCCCCTCTTACCAGGTTCTCAGAACCCACACCCATAAAATACAAAAAAAAAAAAAACCTGATTAATTTATAGAAAACTATGGATCCTTTGTAAATGTTATTTCCTTTATTGTTCAATAAATGCTTACTAAGCAATAGTGCTACTAAATATCTACAGTATCGTATTTAATGAAGTGTTATAAAATGATTCTCCAAGAGTAAAAGTTGTCTGTATAACTTTATAGTATGCAGTTATACACAGTGTTTCCAAAAAGGTTCAAATTTAGCCAATAGAATTTCAAATATAAAACAGTCTAATACTAGACATCAAGAACGTTCAGCTATTGGAAAACTGCTAAATTAAATTCAATACAGCACCGTATAGAAAGCCATCAAAATTTCACTTACAAAAACCTCCACCATATTTAAAAAAAAATAATAAAAAAAAATCTTTGCAACTTGCTTATTAAATAAAGTTGTATTTCTGTTTATATGTTTCAACAGGATGCTGAGTGGGCCAAAGTGACAACTCCCACTGAAACCCTTCTGTGCAGAGCTGTGATTGTCACCTGCCCCCCTCACTTGGCAGGTCAGTCTGCGTCGCCCACCTCTGTTGACTCGCTAAATGAAATTCTTGCTGATGCAGAAGGTAAATATCCTCCTCTCTCATCACGTCTGTCAAATCCGGCAAACCGTGCATCCTTGCGGAAAAATCTATGATTTTCCTAAATCTTTCTGGCTCTGGGGTGTGCCGTCATTTTGGCTGAAGTAAATTCTGTCAGAGGTCAGGCCATGGGCCGAAGAATTACCTGGACTAGATTTTGTTAAGGTCAAAATTTTATTAGGGGCTAATTGCCATAGTCTCTTCCTGCTTTGTGTGCATCAGTTATTTTAATTTTGCTTGGCATCTGCTTAGAAGAGCCCATGGCTGTTGATTGTTGGAACAAGGCTTCAGGAGTCAGAGTATTTATAAAGCTTTGAAATTTGCATCATCTGACCTTTCCTAACAATGACTGTTAACAAGGCATAGCCCCAACAAGTTAATTAAGGTCTGAGCCCTTAGTAAAGGTTATCTGGGAGCTCAAATCTCTTGAGGTATGTAAAAACTCAAATGCAATAACTCCACATGATGTAATAAGTGTGTCTAACCTCATAAAAAAAATTACAGCTATCAATGTTAACGCATCAATGCATGTGATTAACCTAGAAATTTTAGCATGTTGCTATTTTTTAACACAAATTAATCATATGTTTAAGCTTGACTCCAACTTCCACCTGCAATTGCAGTGTGAATGGTTACCTAGCTGTGTTTGTATTATCCGCCAAACACAGATAATACAATGACTGAGGAGTGTACAGTGTGCTGAACAGCAAGCTTCTTTATAAAAAGTTTCCAGATGAAAGTCTGGGTAAAACCAAAGTTGTGTGCACATATTGCACTGATGAACAGGCCTTCCACTGAAGCACAACAAGTTTTAAGTACCATCTTCGGGCAAAGCAATTTTTGCTGATGTTTGCAAAGATGCTTGTGCTGAGGTAGGGTCACCTTGTTGTGCTCGCCAAACAACACTGGCAGAGTGCAGCCGGGGCAAGCTTGTCTACAAAACAAGAGCAGCAAAGCTAACCAATGCCATCACTAAATGGCTTGCCACAGACCTCTGAACTGCTAACATAGTTGGACTTCATTCAGATCACCATAGGCGATGCAGCATACAAGCTACCTTTGAGGGATACTACTGTTACAATAATGCATGAACTACATTGAACTGAAAAGGCTACTAAAAGTGAGGCAGTTGGCAGAAGCTACATGTATTGCACTTACTGGAGATCAGTGGACACCTGTAAGTAACTACCTCTGTGTAACAGCACACCTAATCAATGACAAATGACAAATACAGTCATTCACTTTGGGAGTGTTAAAACCAGAAGAAAGGCATTTTGTGGAAGCATGCACTACTCGGTTTCTCGAATTTGCAAAGGAGTGGGGGATAACAGACAAGGTCACCACTATAGGAACAGATAGTGCTCACAACATGATTGCCACTGCAAGGAGTCCACCATTCAAAGATGTCCCTCTGTGCGGCATACATTATACACCGGGTAATAACACTGGCTTCCCATGACAGCGGATTTGACAGTGCTTTAGCCAAGTGCCGTAAAATAGTTGGACACTTCAAACACAGCAGAGCTGAAAGCTCAGCAACCCTCTCATGGACTAAAAGAGGAGTCACTCATGCAGGATGTACCAATGCGCTGGAATTGACTCTCGAAATGATAAGGCAGATTCAACACAACAAAGATCCACTGAAAGCAAAACTGGCACAGCAGAAGTACAACTTAGCCATGCTAACCTCAGCTGAATATGACAGGCTGCCAAAGTTGGAAACCCTGTTGGAGCCCTGCAGGTAATGTGTTTTCCCAGTATTCTCCAGTTTTTTCTGATAAAAACAAGTAATTGAAAAGTCACAATTATAAAAATAATTTGAAGCCAGCACCCTAAATAGATGTCATCTGAATGAAAACTAGTCATTAATTCTATTGTGTTGTGTTGTGTGTTTGTACTGCAGGTCAATCATTGTGCTCCTAGGTGGTGAAAAGTATGCGTCGTGCTCCATGGTGCTGCCTGCACTGTGCCATATCTTACTTATAACAAGCGTCTCAGATGTTGATCCTGCCTACATAATGTACTTCAAGGCTGAATTCACAAAGGATCTCAACAGACAAAAGGAGAATTTACACCTGTCATTGCTAAAGGTAGCAACAGCTCTAGATCCTAGATTCAAGGACCTCAAGTTCCTGCCCAGAGCAGAGAGGGGAGGGGTGTGGCATAAGGTGAGTTAGATGCTGAAGGACAGAGAACCTGCACCACAGGCCTCTGGAGAAGAAATGCAGCCAAAAACCACCAAAGATGAGCATGGTCCTTCTACTGATGGGATCAGAGTCAGCGTGATGTTGATGTACTGTCCACAGAGAAAACTCTACCAAAGCATAGACACGTGCACCACAGTGGTGGTCAACACACACAGGTGCCCATGGTAAACTGGCCCACAAAGGAACTTGGCTACGCCTGCTTCAATAGTACCATGCGAGAGACTGATCTTTTTGGTAGGCCACATTGTGCAGAAGAGGAGGTCAGCTCTATCTGAAAATGTCAACAAGTTAGTCTGCCTGAGCAACTAGTTAGAAGAGTAGACTATGATTGGATGAGTGGAGGCATGGTGCACAGATGCACACTGTCTGAAGGACTGTAATCATTTGTAACCAAGAGTGTAGCAAGAGACCGTTCACTTTGTCTTTTCAAAGACAGTATGATATTCAGAGCATTCATAAGTTGTTTAGGACTTGTTGGCGGGTGTTACTTTGTAAACAGTTCTTAATGTAGGTGTCTGCTAATTAAGTTTGCAGTTCATATGGATGTTTTGGGCAACACTCCTCGAAACAACTGTACTTAGCAAATTGAGATTTTAATTTACTATTTGTTAAATGTTAATGTTTGTGATTTTAATAAAACCTCAAGAATCTGTTTCTCCAACTAGCCTGTCATACATTTCTTTATTCCAACACATTTAATACAAGTAAATCCTAGTATTTATGGAATTCTGATTAATCACAGCCTATGAATATGATTCTATTTTTATCAATTGACAGCACAATAGATAAAAATTCATAATGTTGATAATATTCAAATATAATAAAAATAGAGCAATAATTTTTTTTGCTTTTGCAAGTTATTACATCATTAGTTTTGTGGCAATGTTGTACATATAATCACCCAACATACTGTATGTTATCAAAACATGTAACAACAAATAAAACCATATTTCATGCATAAAACTGGTTCCATCTCAACCATCACATATAGGACCTACCATTTCAAATGTGCCACATTTGTTTTCCAGTTTTGGGGATGCCATCCAAATGCAAATTACCCATGATAAATATTTACTTTGTGCATTTTAGAGGTTTTATTTACTGAAAGACTACTTCAGAGATTCAAGATAAGCAGTTTTTAAATCCAGTGCAATTCAAAATGTGCACACCTGCATTCTTTATTGACAGTGAGGTTTTGCGAGTTGATTTTTGCTTTGATTTTCTAGTACTTTACTAGCCCTGAGCCCAAAAAGTCAGTCGTTTAAAAGTCCATTATCCAGATCTCACTTTAGTACAGCACGTTACTGCATGTTTCTTGGTATCCATTATCAGCAGGTCCTGGTGTTATAGCCAGTAATGATAGGGCTGATTCCAGGGCACACTGGTGGATTACAATGTTAGAGTACTGTAAGTGAGACTAAAAATTCTATGTCCCAGATGGGATTCAGCTGCTCCTACCTGTCAATCCTGGCTGCTTCTTTCAGGGTGCAAGCATTTTATTTCTCAATACATTATCAACAATATCATATTAATGTAAATAAT